AGGCGCAGGCGCGAGGCGCGAGGAGCAGGAGCAGGAGCAGGAGCAGGAGCAGGAGCAGGAGCAGGAGCATGTGTGGCTGGAGTGGCTAGAGGTTCCGACGACATAACGTCGAGGTTGTGTCATTGATTCATTGTGGGCAAAACAAGGACGACAAATATGCAGAAACTTCTTCTACATTGGAAGGAATTCACCATGAGAGGGAGATCAATTTTTTGTTCATCCTGCCTACCTGCCATTCGTTTGTCCTTTGCTTCCATTTCCGTTCCAATCCCGTCAAAGTCGCAGTCGCTATTAACCCCCTCCCAGCCCCCACTCACCATTTCATGTGTAGACTGCTCATGCTCCTGCTCCTGCTCCTGCTCCTGCTCCTGCTCCTGCTCCCTCGCCCTCTCCTCCTCTCTCCAACTTTCGACAACTCGATGATGATGCAGCAGGATTCGAGGATTCAGCGCGCGGTGCAGATCCTTGTGTGCCTTAGCTTAGCGCGAGCCGTCTTGATCGCTGTCGGCCTGTGCGTTCTCGGGGGGCTGCTTGTCTGCATTCAAATCCATCGCTGGATCTCGAGCAGGGGGGAGGCAAAGGAAACATTGCAGCACAGGTACAACCAGGCCGTCTCAGCCGTCAGCGTGTCAGGAGAGTCGTTGGTGTACGACGCCGTCGTTGCCGCTATCCTGATCCTCCTGGTCCCTTGGATGTTCGGCGTGACGATCTTCGGAGACAACGTCCTTGCGTTGTTTTGGTGGATGAGACCGGAGTCCCGGGATCCGGAGGAGGAGAGGAGGAGAGTCTGCGGGAGGGCTGCAGCTGCAGGGAGGAAGTTTACATCTCTGATGAAGTATGAAACGCCTACATGACAGGAGATCAGCGGCTGTCACAATGAGGATGTTGAATGGACTGAATTGGCCGTGTAAATAATACGATAGAACACGTTGGATAGGCCTGGTAGGCAAACATTGCGTGACATCATAATGGTAACAAATGCTTTCATGCATGTGTGCATTAATGAAACACGAGAGGAAGATTACTGTACAGAGGGCGAAAGGGAAAGTAGAAAGTCAGCAGCAGTTCAGCGCGACGAGCCCAAGGAGCAGGAAAGAGGCAGGGATGACGGTGACGAGGTTGTATGCTGGTCCTGTGTGCAGCTGCATGATGTCATGCACGTAGGTCAAGACCTGCTCCATGGAATGAGCAGGAGCAGCATGAGGGGAAGGAGAGGAGGCGGTGGGAACGCAGGAGGAGGAGGAGGAAATCAAGGGGATTGAAGGAGGCGGGAAGAGAACAACCAGGGGTACGTGGTATCCTACAAACACCTTCCCGAATGTGACCTGCAGGTACCCAAGTCAACATGATGGAGATGAGCGTACGTGAGAACAGATGGCGTCTCATCCAGCACACGTGCCCTATCGCACTGCTCGCACGCTGCTCAACATGGCCCACCTCGTTCTCCTCCTTGACCTCTCCGCTCGCAACAAACTCCATCGCCCCGAGAGCACAGTAGAACAAGCCGCTCAGCCTTGCCAGGTGGACACAAGCTGGGTGCGAGCTGTCGTATTCTAGCATGCCCAGTTGTCGCTGCCCAAAGATCGCCATGAGGTACATGGTCGCTCCTCCTATCACAGCGGCGAAACTGTGAAGCCGCATGATGGTTGCGATGAGAGGTTTGCTGGGGGCGCTCAAGAAGGGAGGCAGGATGCGGACCAACAGGTCGCGCAGCTCTTCGTGTTTCTTGCTGCTCCCTGTCGACTTTAACGTCATGCTGATCAAGGAAACGTGACCATCTTGGTACCTCCGCGCAGGTTAAGTCGCCCAGGGCTCATGCTCCCAAAATTTAGGATGGATGGCCGCCTGCATCATTCAAATCAGCTGTGCAGGTGGGGGCAGAGGCAGGGAGAGGGGCGGGGAATGGTGGGTATTTCTCTTACATGCTCAATGTGGGCAGGGAGGAGTCCTCCGCATGCCTGAAACCTCTCCTTCCTTCGATCATCGTCTTCCTCACCGCATGATTCATCGCAGAGGAGCAGGAGGCAGTGCCGATTTCCATCCCTGCCATGGCGACTAGCAGCACAAGACCGCGGGGATGCATGGAGGGACGTCAGAAGTTCTCAAGGCAGTGGTAACCGCGACAGCCGGCTGAACTCTGAATGGCTGACTCAGCAGTGACTCAGTACCGTAGTACGGTCCGATCAGATCGGAGACGTCGAACCCGGCCCGGTACCGTACGGCGCCGGGGCCGTACGGTCACCCGGGGTCAGACTCTGAGAGTCCCGACAGGCCGCACGGCGGTGGCAGCCGCTGACAGTTGAACTTACTGCCTCACCGTCGGAACAGTGCCGGCCTCAGTAGCCGGCGCCGCCGGTTGCCGGCGCGGGCCCCGGGCGGCCGGGCTAGCCTACGGTACTAGGCGGCGGAGACCTTTGCCACTGGCACCGGCGGTTAACGGCGTCCGCCCGGCCCGCCGAAGGCGAACAGTGAGCATACACATCCGACCATCGGGCCGCCGCGGCGAATCACACTGAGTGTGATCGGACGTAGCCACTGGGCACCTGCCGCTGTGCCACGGAGCTTCACCCGGCGGTGACCGTCCTCATAAACTTTCCCTTGACTCTTATCCCAGAACCGAAGCCTGGGCAAGTTACCACCTTTACTCAAAGTTAAGTTAAAAATCAGTACGAGGACAATCAGGAGAGTCGAGGTTACTAGTTATTACGGCCGCCGGCCCGGAGTCAAGGCTGGCAGCGGCTGGGGGCGGTGGCCGCGTTGAAGTCCTCAGTGCCCGCCCGGCCGGCGGGGCCGGGCCCCGGCCCCGAAGTTTGACTGCTACAGAGGTTTTCTTTTTCCGAGTCTTTTTTTTTGAGTTTACTACTGGCTCAAAGTCAACTTCTTGTAAACTTCGCGATCGTTGCGATCGCGAACGGTCGCGGCAGCCCGAAAGGAGGAGGCGGACGTCACGTACCTGACCGCTTTACCTACGTACCCCCAGACTCCTTTTTTGTTTTACGACCCCCCCGGTTCCCTCCTCTCCGCGGTACCAGGTACCCCCCCCCAGCCGCTGAGGTACGGGTCAAGGTCCACCCCTTTTATCCTCGCACCTGCGTGATAAGTCATACGGTAGTACCACCCCCTTCTACTCCTTTTCCAGCCACAATTCGGTGACCTACCACACCCCCATAGCAGGTGACCCCCGACTCGGGTCTCCGACTCCGACTACCCCCTCCGCCCCCACCCCACCCCCGACGCAGACTACACACTTCAGTGATCCCTTGGCATAACTGGTGCGGGAATGCCCTCGGCTCGTGGGGAGACCGGCTGGGGTCATGGGGGTCATCACAACTTCAAGCAACCGGTCCATATTACTTCTACTTCTGTGATCTAGAAGGGGTGGGGTAATAACCATGAGGGGTCCCGGTGGACCATACGGAACATTCTTTACAAATATGCTCGGAACGTACGCCGATGTTTATTGAGGTGGGTAGGTGGGGTGGTTAGTACATGACGGATGAATCTCCTATAATCGTGGGTACTCACAGGGATAAAGAAGGGTAGGGTTATGGCGGGAAGTTAAACAATAGTTTTGTGGGGTGGGGTAGGGTTGGTTATAATCCCTACCCACCCCTGGCAGACTCATGATCTTGAATGTTTATTTTGTATAACCCCTCGGTTGTTAACAAGGTGAGCCCCTACCCCCTTATTTCCCATGTGAATACACTTAAAATAACCCGTGCAGCTACAACTCACCCACCTCTGTGGTTGTTTCCCCTTGAGTACCCACCCCTTGCTGTCGGAACGTCTCATTATTGTATATACTTTGTATATATTAGCCGAAGGCAGCTAGGTATTTTCAGATCCTCCTCCTCGACACCCGCCTCATCCTCCTCCTCCGCCTCCGCCTCCGCCTCCTCCTCCTCTCCTTTCACTTCCTTTCGAGCCCCTTTCTGGTCTCAGCTCGTCTAAGTTGTCCCACCAGCTTCCTCTCCTGTTCATCCGTCAACTCTTCACGGACATCAAGTCGATCATGTCATACGACAGGGCAAGTGAATCTCGAAGCCCACCGCAGCCTCGATCTAGGATTAGCCGATCCGGCTCCGTGTCCAGCATCGCCGTTGAGGCCGCCGGGGCTATTGACAAGCCCGATCACATCGCCAGGTCCCGGGCATTCATGGCGCAAAGCAAAAGCGAGAGCAACGTGTTTGAGCGTACATCATCAGGAAGGAGATCAGAGGACTACGTCAAGAAGATGGAGGAAAGGTCGATGAAAGCTCTCGAGATGATCTCCAGCAAGGGGATCGCAAGGACCAGCTCCACTTCCTCGCGCAGAATGTCGACGTCTGACTCGACGTATGGAAGCATCGCCGAGTATGAATCATGGAGCAAGTCAAGGCGCCCCTCGGCCTCGACGACTACCATATCCTCCTCCTCCTCCTCGTCCTCCTCGACAACCACCTTCTCGAACAAGTCGAGGTCAGGGATCAAGCGAAGAGATAGTCTCAAGGACATCTCCAGAGGGTCGATGCATGTGAGCAGCAAGGGGTTGATCCCCGAACACTGCCATGCTCAGCCCATGTACTTGAACTTGCGGCGATGAAGAGGAGGATGCGATGAGGAGGAGAATGGACGAAGAGGAGGAAGTGTTCATGAGTATTCATGAGGTTGAAGTGCTCGCTTGTTTTTTTGGCAATGGTCAACTGGTGACTGTCGCGGACATAGCATAGCACAATCAATGTAACAGAGTCAACTTGACTTGATGAGGAATGAATGAATGTAGTTTATCATGATCCTATCAGTTGCTGATACTGACCCACAACTCGCTCTCCATCCTCTCACCGTCATCTCCTCCGCTCTCGAAGAGTATCGAGAACAGATTGCATGTCGTTCTCACTCTTCGCATCCTATCGGCCAACCGTCAAAACTAGTTCACAGCGACAAACTTGTCTGACCTGGAGGTTCTGTCTAAGATCCACATTGTCCTGAGCAACATCCGTCAAAATGTCAGCATGAAAGGATATAAGGGGTATGGTCATCATCATCATCATCATCATCATCATCATCATCATCATCATCATCATCATCATCATCATCATCATCATCATCATCATCA